TGTCCTGACTGGATCTGGATGTGACAGTTATTACACAGCTAGAGCTATTCACAGGTTTACAGCTTTACTTAAAGCCCCCCTGTAGTCAATATAAATGTATCCCTCATTTAAAATTTTAAACGCATCTTTGAATACCAAAATGACATATTTAAGAAAACGTTTCCTGTGAAAAAAATGTCTTCATATCTAAAAATAGCTTGAACATAACTCTACACCCTTGCTTCATTTAATATATATGTGGATACATGAATATGCTAATTAGCATGACTGGTTACAAAGTTGTTCAAACCGTGTTTTTGAAACTGTCTTTAGTTCACTGCAGGTTTAAACAACATTTAAAGCTTGATTTTCAACACAGGGGGACTATAAACGCTTCTGTTATTGCCCAGCAGAAGATTTGGAAGTAATTAAATACATTTCACATACTGTACAGTGTACACATGATGATGTTTCCTATGGCCTTGAAAAACAAACAAGAAATGCCATTAAATATATAAGACATGTCAAAGTTGATTAGACCTGATTATACAAAAGGGTTTTTAGATCTTAACTACCGTAGTTACAAAACCATCAGAAATATCGGTCCCACTTTAAGTGTCTTTGACTATAGGCTATTTAGGCTAATAAGATTTTAAAGGCACACTATGCAAGAATTGTACCATAATATAACAGCGTCAAAGTCATTTTGATGGAAAACAAACTCAAAGTAGGGCGAATCATCCTGGTGGTAACGCTTTGGGAGGGGTTAGGATGGACGGACGCAGCTGGAAAAACCAAGGCAAGTTTGAGAGGAGAAGTTTTGTTTGAGTTCTTCAATGGTCTAGTGGTAGACAAGCGTGTCAGATGTAACAGGTTCTACGTTTTTTCTCTCTCATCAAAACTGAATATGTTCATCAGTGGTTACAGTCTATATCATAGCTGTCAACCCTCCCGTTTTTTCCGGGTTTCTCACGTATTTTTACTCTTTTCCCGCTGTCTTCCCGTTTTAGTATTTTCCCGTAAAATATCCCGTATTTTTACTCTGATTGTGTGAGACGTACGAGCTCGGACTGATTCGGCTTGAAGTCGTTTATTCTCAGATGCGGCGCCGCGCGCGCTGGCCGGAGACACACTGGCTGTGTCCGTTTTTATTTCGGTTCCCATGTTAACAGATTAGAGCTTGCACACTCCAGAAAACGCGTGCATGCTAGAAATAGAACTGACGCCTATTTTTTCACGTGACACGCAAGCGTGTTGAAAGCGTTTCCAGGCAAAAAAAAAAAAAAAAAAAAAAAAAAGGAAACGATGTTTATATGTCATTTTGTACTCGAATAGCCTACATTTTACATTTTGATGTTTGAAAGTCAAGGTTTTTACATAAATTCAGATATCAATGTAATTTAAACATATAATAATTATAATAATCGATTTATATTGCCATTAGTTTTGCTATAATTTAATGTCATATAACATATGAATAAAATATCATTTCTTTTCTTTTCTTTTTTTCATTTGTTTCTTATGCTCTTAACAATGATTACACAAAGAAGAAGAAAAAAACTTTTGGAAAAAAACGTTCTGGGCCTCAGGAGGATATAAAGATGGGATAGGCTACAATAACAACAGAGTGATGGTCCACCACCAGGCTAAATATAGGCTCTTTAAAACTACATAAAATGTGTAAATGTAATTGAAATAAACAGACAGCCCACTTCCCTATTTTGTGGGTTTTGGAAGATGTGATAACAGTTGAAATTGTTGTCCTAAAGGCAAGAGCAACACACCGCTAATCCAAATGTAGATTTTTTTTTCTTTAAATGACACTAGTTTCTAGGCTAGTTATTAACTCTTTAGACTTTTAAGGATTAGTGCTTTATTTTTTAAGTTTGTGGGTAAGAATCGTGTAAAAAAAAAATCCCTTATTTTGGGGAAGGATTCCGGGAAAAATCCCTTATTTTCAATGTTCAATGTTGACAGCTATGGTCTATATCAAGCAGTGACATGTTTTTGTGCATTTTATTTTGTGATTTCACCAGAGTGAATAGAGAGTCTCCGCAACTGCGACAGATTGAAGAGCGCGTCTGATTGAAGACTCAGCGCCACAAGAGACTAGCTATGTATCCATGTCACTGACAGCAGCGGACACGAGCACTCAGCTTGAGTTGGTAATTATGGTAAATACCAAAAACTGACATGGAAAATGCACATGAACACCCCCTCATGTGGTATTTTCCACTGGGCAACTCGTAAAATATTTTGATGGACGAGTTATTGCCGAGATGAGATATCCTTTGACCTTTTCAAAATGGCGGAGCGCATCGCAAGAGTCGTGAATGGGAAGCATTGTACACAACTAAACGTTTTTTGCTACGGTTGGAAGATAGTTTTTGTACAATATGTGTCATTAACAATTGTAATATAATGTGTTAACACTCAGTGTCAGTTTTAAAAATACCGTTATGCAGTGGTGGAATGTAACAAAGTACAAATACTTTGTTACTTTACTTAAGTACATTTTTCACGTATCTTTACTTTACTTAAGTACAATAAATAGTGCCTACTTTTTACTTTTACTTTGTTACATTTTGCAGCAATTATTATACTTTCTACTCCACTACGTTTCTACAACTTCTGTTACATTTTCGGATCAGTTTTTCCCCTGCCAAAACGTAATCTGACCGTCCGTTCGTTGCACGTTTGTCTCACCAGTGACGTTTGGTTGCCATAGATACAGTATATCAACCCGGTCACACTAAATGCGTCTCACACGCAGTGTGTTTATCGTGCAACTCATACGCGAAAATTTGTTTTTACGTGCATAGGAAACACACCGTGTGTAATATATGTTTGGTTTGGTTAGGATTATGGCAAGCTAAGAGGTTCAGAATTACACCATAAATTAATCTCGTTTACTGCCAAACATAGTTATTAACATATAGTAAGGATAAGCATGATGTATATTGCCTAATTGCAAGCTTGTTTCAGAAATGGTGACATTTTTTTCCATCATTATTGAACATCATTATAGAAGTATTAGGTTGAATGAGTTAGAATTAAATGTTTTATTAATCATTAGAAAATAGACATTACGATAATAAATTGTTATGCAAGTACTTTTACTTTTAATACTTAAAGTACATTTAAAATAAAGTACTTTTTACTTTTTACTTAAGTATGGTTGTCATTGTGTTACTTCTACTTTTACTAAAGTAAATATTTATCTGGGTATTTGTACTTTTACTTAAGTACTGAGATTTAGTACTTCCTCCACCACCGTTATGGTTTGGTGGTGTTACTGTTACCTACCCAGAGCAGATGCTAGCTAACGTTAGCAGTTAATAGAAGCCTGGTATAGGAAAGATTCACATAAGGATAGACCTAGCTTTTACAGTTAAAACAGAAATATTAGTTCTATTAACTCCCTTGTCCTTAAAAAAATCTGTACTATTCATGATCTATAAAATATACAGCATATTATTTACCGTTTGAGTTTTGTTAAATCATCTTCTTGCTGTAGCAGATGAATTAAGCAATCTAAAATTGTTTTAGTCAAATAACAGGTCTCTCTCCATCTTTTCACCACATTATGAAAACAAAACGCAACACACTGGTAAATACCAGTTCACAAGTGGAAAATAACATCTTTTCCATAGCACGTGAACGCAGCATCACGCTCTGCGTGAGTGGTATTTACAACAGTAACATTAAATACAAGTACTCCACAAGTCGCTACAAGTCGCTGTTTGACAAAAATGGAATTCCTGCATAGTGTGCCTTTAAAATAATCAATTGATACAGTGCACTATTGTGTATGTTTTACATTTTACTTGTATTTAAAAATGCCTGCATGTAATTACAACAGTAATTATTATCTGTATTTACATCTATGATTACACTGTTGAACCATCCCGTGCATCTTCACCCACCCTTAAACCTTGGATAAACTAAAGAATTACATTCTTCATTGAGTGATTCATTCATGCCTTTAGTTTCAGGCCACTTGTCTGAGTCCCCTGCCAGCAGTTAAAGTCTCTGCTCTGAGGGGAACCTCATTTGGAATGACTCCAGAGAGTCTGGAGATTCACAAATTCATGAGGCTGTAGTGAGGGAGGGTAAATCTCTCCCTAAACCTCACAGTTTGTAGGGGTCACAGGTCATAAGTGGCTCAGTGGGAGCAGTTTACAAGCCAGGGCATGTTTTTCACAGCTCAAGCTATCATGATGTTATGTCATAAATTAGAGAGGTATGCTGTAGATATGTGAGCCATGTATATCATAAAGCCATTAAGAAGTTGATGCTATATTGCTCATAAATATTGTCTTTCTGCAAAACTGAACCTTCCATTTTTACCTTATGTGATGCACTCAATGTGTATATGTGAATACAAGATTTTATGTGTAAAATGCCTCAGTGTTGGTTATCTACCTAAAATATCTTAATTTGTTTTGAAGATTAACCAAAGTCGTATGGGTTTGGAACGATATGAAGGTGAGGGGAAAAAAAAGTGGTAGATCGATAATGCCAAGTCTGCGAATTTAATTTTTTTTAATCATGATTTTAAAAGAAATTGGAAAATAAATAGCTATTTCAATAAATAAAAGAGCTAATCGCCTTGATAAAAATATCAAAAAATAAATATATTATTAATATTATTAAGGCGCAAGCTTCTACTGGTTATGAAATCTGAATGATGGCACTAACTTCTTAAAATAACGAGTCTGGTCATTAAACAGAAGCTTAATATAATAGGTTCATATAAATAAAATATTCCTGATTTTCTCCCCAGGATGTTAACATTATACTTTAAATGATTGAACTCTGTTTAGTGTGTAACGCAAAAAAATGGAATGAAAAACCTGCTTTATTTAAACTAAATAAACAATTTTAAATTATATTTTATTACAATATAAAACAATATGCATGCACCACATTTTTGAATCCAGTAAGAGGGTTTAAGTCTTGAAATCTGAGGCTGTGTCTTTAAGAGGTGGCCCCATGCAGTGTTGGGAGCCCGAGGCGCCTTCAGCCAAATTACTGAAGTTCAGAGGAAGTGACGGGGAATACATGAGCTTTTAGAGTTACTAAAACAATTTATATATAGAATTTCTTGAAGAAAACTTTTCGTGTAGTTTCGTGTAGTATAATTAATTGTGGTTTCCGAATATCTAGGCAAAAAAAAAAAAAAAAAGAATATTAATTTTTCGATAGAAGCGCAAGTAATTCGCGATCATCATCGAACTGCAGACAGTCTGTAGCCTTGTTTACCCTGAGTTTACCAACTCGCTCATTTTATAACGGACATTACCTCTCTCCTAAACAGTAGTTTGCATTCGCTGTCCACAGTTTTGTTTAAAGTAATTTACTTTGACGCTATGTCCCATTGTTGTGTTAAATGAGTTTGCATCTTTCGTGCTTTGTTTTGTAATGAACGCGAGAGTGACTCTACCGGCTTCAGTCCAGAAAGCGTTTGTCGTGTTTACTCTGGTATTTTCGGTAAGTGTTTGCTCACAGTTGACGGTGCTTGTTCGTCTCAAAGATGGTCAAGTAACGGAGGAGCTGTTAGAGGCGGATAGTGAGAAGGACATTATAACAGTGGAGTTCAAGCAGACAGACGGGACTCTCATCACATTCCTGACTGATTTCAAGCGCGTGAGTAATCCAACTAGCATATAGAATTCAACCACAGCTGTATATGAACTGAAAATAATGCACTTTTAAATACATGTCAAGCCAAGAGAGTGTAACAATAAGGCCTATGTGTTTTTTTGGGGGGGACATGCACCTTGGAGTAAACACCAACCATGGTATATGAATTTCAATGTCATGTTATATTAGAGTACCATGGTATTACTATCCTATCTGATGCCTGTTTCATGCAAGAACCAAGGTATTTCCAAATACCATCATGCATTCTAAACAAGATACCATGATACTTTTTAGTAGTTTCGTAAGTGAAACATTTTTTTTTTGTTTGTTTGTTTTAGTTTCAGGGTAAAGTCCTTTCTAAAATCAGGGTAAAATCTTTATAGCATCATTCTCTATCATGTACCATCAGGTACCATCTGATACCAACACTGCACCATGGTACCACAAGTTGAGTTTTTTTGGTACTTTTTATTTGGTACCAGTACAAGTACATAGGATTTTTTTGTAGCAAAGCTCATTGAGTCAAAATTAAAAGAGAAACTTACAAAACTAAACACAATAAATAGACTTTGAGAAGGTACAGTAAACGGAGAACAGTAAACAAAGAAACAAACACAATAAAGATGATTACCTAGGAGTATTGCACTGTCCTATATATATATATATATATATATATAAACACTGTAACTAATAAAACACTCTCTGTTTAACAGAGACAGACACGTACACGTCACAGGCATAAACTACCTGTTCTAACATTCCTACAGTATATAATAAGAGATAACACTTGTCATATAAAATCAGTGGTGATATTTTTTAATTTTAAAAAACTGTTTCACGAGTTCACACTTGCATAAAATCGAATAGAGTAAAGGTTATGTGTATTTGGCGGTCTGTCCGTGCATGGGGACAGATAAAAGCCTGGTCAGGTTGGGATGGGAACAAATAAGAGTGAGGAGTTTGGGTGGAGGAAGGATTCGGCTATTTATATATAGGCCTCCACGCGCTGATTGGGTTCTGAACGTGCTTCTCCCAAATTTTGTTAATAATACATAATTTGTGATTCGATAGCACTGCTTGAATCGTTTGGTTTGATTTGGTTAGAGAACTGAGCTTATTAAAAGCATCTAAAAATGCTTTTCCTTTTTTACATAGTGTGATCAGATCATATTACTTTTATGTAATTAGCTCTTTGTGAATGTAATTTTTAATGTTTGAAAGAACTTCAAAGTGGCAGTGTTAGTATTGAACTCAGTCTAACTAACAGATGTGTCTGTTTGTGTTGATGGAAATCATTTTCAGGATTATATTTTAGCCAAATAAAAAACAGTTGTTAGACTTTCATCACTCTAAGACACGGCATTTTTTTTCCCATTAGAGTAGACGTACTTAAATGTAGAGCCTTTTCAGGATGATTTTTTTTTCCTATTTTCCACTCCAGTGGAAAGTTGGATATCAATCTGTTATTTGCCAGAAAGCCATGCAGCCAAATTCATGCTGTGGGCTGTATGGGAAACATCAGGCATTATGCAAAGCAGCCAAAGCAACACAGAGCAGGGAACATCATTTATAGACTCAACATTATAAATAAATTAATTGACCATTTGTGGTGCATTAATTAATTACACTAATTACCTTGGTATGAAAGTTAATCATACGGATGCATTTGCAAAGGCGATTGGTGATTAACACAAAATGAGTTTCACTTTGTCTTTTTCTAAATAAATGAACTCAACAAGGTTACAGAGGCACTTACAATAAGGCCAGTTTTCAATTTCAATTTTCAATCAAGTTTCAATATTGTAGCCACAAGATAAGTTATACATTTTTATAAGTAACAACACCATAAACCCTTAAAATATTTTTTAAAAGAAAATTATTTAAACAGCTTTAAAGTTATAAAAGGTTTTACCTTGGTAATCTTTAATCAAAATCTGAAAAGTTACTTCCGGTCTGGAATGGTTTCTTTTTCTGATGACGTAGGTTTCACAGCTTGGGTGGGGAAACGCTTAACCACTCCCCTCAAACCGTTAGTTTGCTATGAGCGAGAGATGGAGAGGAGGAGCGGTAGAGTAAAACCCTGCCCTCTGTTCAATATTACGTTTCACTTGGAAGTACGTCACAGCACTGGAGAAAAATCGTTTGCAACTTCTGGTTCACGGGGACTTTAAAGGGATAGTTCACCCAAAAATGAAAATTCTGTCAGTATTTACTCACCCTCATGTTGTTCCAACCCTGTAAGACCTTCGTTCATCTTCAGAACACGAATTAAGATATTTTTGATGAAATCTAAGAGCTGGATCACTCCTCCATTCTAGTCCATAGGCTTCTTGAGGGATTGAAACTTGCCGGCCTCGAAAAGTTATTAAAGACATCGTTAAAACAGTCCAACTGACTACAGTGGCTCAATCTTAAGTTTATCAAGCGTCAAGAACACTTGTGCGCAAAAAACCCCAAAAACAACGACTTTATTTCAAATATTCATTTCGTTCTCTCTAGGCCTCCAGTCAGGTAAAAAAATATATTTTTGATGAAATCTAAGAGCTGGATCACTCCTCCATACTAGTCCATAGGCTTCTTGAGGGATTGAAACTTGCCGGCCTCGAAAAGTTATTAATGACATCGTTAAAATACTCCAAGTGACTACAGTGGCTCAATCTAAAGTTTAGCAAGCGACGAGAGCACTTTTTTGTGCGTAACAAACATACTTAAATAATGACTTTATTTTAACTATTCACTTCCTTCTCTTTGACTGTCTAGTTAGTTAAACTAGTGTAATTGCGTAGAGCTACGTCACACGTAGACTCACTATTGGCCGACGTACTGTAGGTCATGTGTGTGATGCGTGTGACGTACAACAACCGATCATACGCTGTTAAACTAGTAACCTGACTAGAGGCCTAGAGAGAACGAAATGAATATTTGAAATAAAGTCGTTATTTTTAGGGGTTTTTGCGCACAAGTGTTCTTGACGTTTGATAAACGTAAGATTGAGCCACTGTAGTCAGTTGGACTGTTTTAACGATGTCTTTAATAACTTTTCGAGTCTGGCAAGTTTCAATCCCTCAAGAAGCCTATGGACTAGTATGAGTGATCCAGCTCTCAGATTTCATCAAAAATATCTTAATTCGTGTTCCGAAGATGAACGAAGGTCTCACAGGTTTGGAACAACATGAGGGTGAGTAAATACTAACAGAATTGTCATTTTTGGATGAACTATCCCTTTAAGAGCTGCAGTTATGACTGATCTCAACTAGGACCCTTAATAGAAGAGATGCCACTTTTCATTTCATTTCTCTCTATAACAGAATCTACATGATAATTATTTAAGTTGTTTTGAGCAAATTAGTCTGGCTGACATTCACATTGCTTCAGTCATATTCAGTGTAAATACTGTAGTGCAGTTACCGCTGGGACGGACGCAAAGAAAAGCAGTGTTGTCATGAAAGAGGCTGTATTCTTGGTTCTGTGGGAGCAGTTGGTGGATCAGCTGATGCTCGGGTCAGTTACATGTGCTCTGAGGAGCTGGTCTGTTTATAGATAGACAGGGGCATCTACTTTGTTTTAGTGCTCATGAATTGAAGGCTTTAAAAAAAAAATTAATTAAAAATATCAACATTTTCATTTGGTTGCCTCTCGCTGCACTCTTTAAACGAAAAATTACATTGTTCGTATTCATTATTTCTCATTCGTTGTCAATGAAACTTACAGGTGTGCTGCGAAAATAAATTTAGTAAAATGCGAAAACTGGAAATAAGTATCTAATATCTTATGCAATTTTGCTTATAAGGTAAATTAATTGTGCTTTAAGCTAAATGTTAGATTTTAAGATGCTGAACAGACTATACAATTGTTTTGCTGTATATTATCTTAAGTCTTTTTAATTAGAACAAATATCTACTTTTATTAAGTTGTTAGTTTAAAAAATAATAATAATAAGTCTGCAATTAAGTTTTCCCTAACCTGTTTTTCTCAGTATTTACCAAGGTTACCAGTGCCGGTCCGTTCACAAACCACAAACGTTATCTATAATGATAACTTTATCAGCATCCACATCAGCAGATTATATCATTCTGTTTATTCAGACGTTTTTAACGCTCGAGCTATTTAAAGGAGGACGGATTCTGATTGGCTGTCAATGTTTTTATCACTCATCAGGTGGCTCTAAAAAAATGGCTTCCAACGTTCTCGCCATTATCATTATAGTTGTCGTGTGAACTCTACTATTTAATATTTAGAACAATTTTTATAACTTTGTGTTTATGGTTATCATAATAGTGAAAAAAAAACATGTTTGAGGTTTTTACTTAAATAAATTAACTAATGTTAACATATATTTTTATCTTGCATTGGATCCCAAGTAAATTCATATTGTCTAAGGATTATATATTTTTACTGGACAATAATATATGTCTGTTCATGTATGCCTGCCTGTTCTTTTAATTTGTACTGTATGTCCGTGTGTTTAATAGGAAAAACATCACGATAATAATATCCCCTAACTAAATGTACATTCTGTCATCATTTACACACCCTCAAGTTGTTTCAAACCTGTATGAATTTCCTCTGCTGAACACAAAAGAAGATATTTTGAAGAATGTCGGTAACCATACAGTTGATGACGTACTTGTACCCCATTGACTTCCATAGTAGGAAAAAATATGGAAGTCAATGGGGTCCATCAACTGTCTGGCATTCTTTAAAATATCTTGTGTTCAGCAGAAGAAATTCATACAGGTTTGAAACAACTTGAAGGTGAGTTTTCATTTTGAAGTGGCTTGTGCTCACAATTTCTCTATTGTTTTTTTTTTGTTTTGTTTTTCTAATAGCGCGTGAAGATCTTTCATGCCCTGGTGCTTGGGGAGCCAGAGAAGGGCCAATCACAGTACCAGGCCCTCTGCTTCATCTCACATTTGAACCATGGAGAGCTCATCCCCAGTGAAGCCATGGCTAAACTCAGACAGGTCCAAATTTAACAGTTAAATAAAGCACCATCTGTGGCACCGTGCTGAAAAAAAAACAAACACCTTAGGCTAACTTAGGTCCAGGCTTAAAGGGACAGTTTACCCCCCAAAAATGAAAAAGTCTTGGGACAAGGCCTTGCACAGGCATACACATTCATTTTAAAGTAAAGCCACAAGCTACACAAGTATTTAACCATTGATGGTGTATTGTTAGAACTCTTGGGTGTTGTGTATTATTATCAAAGTATTAACCTTATGACCGTTCTTTTGATTGTTGTTTGAACTCAACAGAAAAACTCTCATTTGGTGCGGAGTGCGGAGGAGAGACGTGGTGTGGAACAGTTCACTATGAATGCGGTGCTCAACATGAGTCGCTCCTGGCACCTCAGCACTCACATACATAATGTCTGCGGGGATGCACGGGACCTTGTGTACACACGGCAGCAAGATGTCAAACACTGGCTGGACAAAGGTTAGATGAGAGTGTTTTCACTGTGTGCTCTTACACAAGTTGATGCTGTGCTGTATGTTTTAAGCCCTTGAATTTTCAGCAATAACTGGGTCGTTCTCGTATTCTCATTTGTGCCTGAAAATTTCAGGAAACATTTTTTTTTCTGGAAGTTTACAGCTGAAATTTTAAGCAAAGAATTATACATAGAACAAATATCTGAGTAAGGTGTGTTAATATAATTACCATTTATTATTATTTAGTGGCCAGAGAAAAATAACTCTTTCTTATGGGTACAGTGCTACTCAATCGCATCATTAATGGGACTTTGTTTTGTAAGCAGTGACCACATAATTCAATACTCCAATGAATGTGCACAAAAGTTTTATTCAACTAAATCACGAACACATAACTAGTCTAAACATACGCATACGGACAATCACGCGGACATGAGTGAAAAAGAATTAAGGAAACAGGAACAAGGAAATGAGGCTTTGGCAATGTCAGAGTTAACCACCTGAACAGAACCATCAGCACCTTGGTAACAAACGGTTATACGAGCTTATACTAAATCTCTGTTTAGTTCATTTAAATTATATTTGCACAATCCCTTAACCGTTGAACGAACGTCTGAATATGCAGTCTCAGAAGAAAGTGGTGATGCTGCAATGGGTTCTTCCAGGTTTAATGCCTGGTACACATTTTTGGCTGTTCAAAGATGACCAATTGTGGTGATTTCACAGAGATGGTGCCCTTTAAAGTTCCCCTGTGGTGAAAATCAAATTTTTATGTTGTTTATATGTCTATGTAGTGTTTTTAATGTGCTTTTAGACAAACCATGTGCAAATTCATGAGTCAACACCATTGCTGAGTATTTTCTCCTTGAAACCGCAGTAAAATAAAATAGTCTCAAAAACGCGGTTTGAAATTAGTGGTGTTACGTCACAAACTACCTTGTAACCAATCACGTCAACGTCCTGGCGAGCTAGCAGGGGAGTTTTGAGAGATGCAAAGTTATCCTGGTATATATTTTTTTGTTGATATGAAAAATCGAGTAGATTTAGCAATATAGCGGACGTATGATATTTTACGAAGTTATGATGAACTATGTGCCTTATTCCACTGATGTTCGGAGTTGTTCAAAGTGTTTGATGAATGTTAGAAGGCAGACTGAGATGGCGAATGGGAACATAGTTTGTGTAACATTAGCAACACATTATTAGCTGTTTGATAACAGTGGAGCAAAAGGCTTATAATATTAATTACTGTTATGTGTCTGACATTGTAAAGAGCGATACCTTTGTGAAGTGTTTACCTCGGTAATTTAGCCAAGTGAATCCGTGAGCTGGCATGAGTGGAGGCGGGGCTAATTAAAATATTCATGGCTCCACATAAACTAAAGAAGAAAAAAAAACGTTTAAATATGTAATTTTGTTTTAAATAAATTTTAGGGGTTTTTTTTATATATAAAAAAAAAATAAAAAAATAAAAATATGTAATTTTGGTGATCAAAGATGAGTTTTAAGGGATAAAATTATTGACTGCAGGGGGATTTTAACTTCCACAGAGGTCACATCTCTCAAATTTTGGCTTGACCTACTGAGAAATGTGTAAATTTAAAGCGTAAAAATTCCTTTGTTTAGAAATAGACTCTTTGTGTCAGGCGGTTTTGTGTCCCTTTATTCTCTGAATTAATAAAACAAGTATACAATACATGCTATGAGGAGGTGATGCAAACCAATGTGATTATTTTGATATCGAGCATGATATACAGTAGATGAGGTTTCATTAGTTCTATCAGGCATGCATAAAACTGTATACAATACAAATGTCAATATACAAAACAGTAATAATACGCAGTATTACGTACAATGTCCTAAAGATATACATGTTTATTCATAGAAAGGTTTGTCTTTGAATTAGTGAATTAATGGAGAGAAATCGATTTTATGGGCCTTTGTCAATCTTTCCAATGGCCTTTGCTGTTTCATGTGGCCACCTTACATCATGCGAAGTATTCACATAAACATGGTCTTTTATGTCCTACAATGAAGCTTACCAGACATGTGTGTAATGATTGCAGTCAGCTTAAATGGCATTTGTTTTATAATATTGGGTTGACATTTTATAATTATGGTTGCTTCAAGACTTCTTTCGAAAGTATTTGTACCTACCCCAAACCTTTGAACAATAGTGTGTCTATTTATTTAGTCAGTCTGTCAGTCAGTCAATTTATATGTTTCCTAATATGTACCCCTGTTAAGGCCTGTTCACACCGGGACGAATTTCGTGCGCGATTTTCACCGACGTTTAATGCCTCATGACTAAACAAAGGGCGCCAATGTGAGTGTGCACACCTACGCGAAAAACGGCTCGGGTTAGTTTTGTTTGGTTTGATGTGCCGCGTCAAAAACTATCCGACCAATGAGATTGGTGCTTTTGCTCACGTGTCTGGTGCTTCCGAAGTTACAGTAAAACACAACTTGGGGGCACTCAAACTCAAAGTGGTCTTACCAAGCACACATACGTAAAGGCGAAGAAGATATACGCCACTGTCTACACTGCTGGAAGACGAGGAAGATGCAAGGCAAGATATCTATATGGGCACGACGAATGTTGAGCTGCTGGTCTCGGAGCATAAAGAGATATGATAATATTTATATTAGTATTTCTTTAATAATAGTATAGTATACTATTATTATTTCTGAAATTACATTTAAGGAGTAGTTCACTTTTAAAAAAAAACTTTTGCTGATAATTTACTCACCCCCATGTCATCCAAGATGTCTATGTCTTTCTTTCTTCAGTCGAAAAGAAATTAAGGTTTTTGATGAAAACATTCCAGGATTTTTCTTCATATAATGCATTTTAATGGGAACCAAATGGTTCAAGGTCCAAAAGACAGTTTCAGTGCAAACTGTTCAAAGGGCTTTAAACGATTCCAGACGATGAATAAGGGTCTTATCAAGCGAAACGATGGCTCATTAAAAACACGTTTTTTTAAGCTCAAATGGTTACCTTGCTCTGTTCTGTGATGCGCATTCATGACTCTCCTGTTCGAACTCTTTCATCAAAATGAACAAATCTTTTTCCGAGTCAATTCGTTCGTTTTGTTCGTTGAATGAATTGAATGGTGAATTGAATGATTTTGATGAACGAGTTCGAACAGGAGAGTCACGAACGTGCATCACAGTACAGAGCAAGGCAACCATTTGAGCTTATAAAACTTAAACTTTACTATTTTTTTTTAATGATCGTTTCGCTTGATAAGACCCTTATTCATCATCTGGAACCGTTTAAAGCCCTTTGAACAGTTTGCAATGAAACTGTCTTTTGGACCTTGAACCGTTTGGCTACCAGTAAAGTGCACTAAATGGAGAAAAATCCTGGAATGTTTTCATCAAAAACCTTAATTTCTTTTTGACTGAAGAAAGAAAGACATGAATATCTTGGATGACATGGGGGTGAGTAAATTATCAGCAAAAGTTTGTCAGGGAATGAATTTGCATGTTCACTCAGCTCATCGTCAGTAAAAATCGTTTGGGTGTGAACACAAAAAATGCGTTAAAAAACGTGTTGAAAAACGCTTGCGAATAACGTGCGCTGATATTCGTCCTGGTGTGTACGGGCCCTTACATTTGAAATGTTTTGGGGTTAAAATAACTAATTATGCACTTAACCTGCAAATACCATGACCACTCTGTATTAGATAAAGTCAACATTTTTCTGCTTTGTGCAATGAAAATTTTTTTAAATTTTTTTTTAACCCAATTCATTTTTCTTTACAGGGGTTGAAGGTTCAATATTTGAGGTCTTTCCCCAGGGTGTGAATGTGAGTGGCTTGCAGAGCTGCAGCTCCACAACAGACCCATGGCAGCCCTGCTCCTGCACTTACAGGTTAAACCTGGAGTGGTTCCCGTGCCAGCTGAAGTACTGCCGGGGTCAGGGGTCCAACCCATACAAGTGTGGGATCAAGAGCTGCAGCAAAGGCTACCGGTTTGACTTCTACACACACCATAAACACCTGTGCCTTTGGGATGAGGACACTTAGTACCACCTAAGAGAAAGGAAACTTTTTTTTTTTTTCCTTTTTTTATGGGAAACATGCTTTTGTAAAGTACTCCACAACAAAGCAGAAGTTTACTTTTACCTCAAGGAAACATTTTGATAATGAGATTATCTAGATTGTGCGCTTCATTGTATTGAAAGCAATTTATCTCAACAGGGAACTTTCTCTGACTATTATGCATTGAGTGAAGGAATGAATATTTTGATGTGGATTGTCAAGCCATTTGTCTTTTCACTTTTGGGCATCACTACAATGATACCTCAGGGCAGACAATTCTGTTTTAATGATTAGTTTGTATGTTTAGTTCTGCTTTAGGATAAGCTGTCTTGTAGCTCTTGTTTTCGTTCCGTTTAGTGTTTACGTTGCTGACTAAATTAGTTTATGTTCAAATATTCGAATGTTAAAGTATTAGCTTTCCATAACATTCTTTTAGTTGAGGATATAATTAGTATAAAGGAGAGTATTTTTATAAATATTCACATCCTATTGTACAAAATGTTTACAATATGAATGTTGTAAACGTTGCCTTCACTTTATGTTGTGTTTAATAAGCTTATGATTCTGCCTACTGCATTGTCTTGTCAATCAATAATCTGCAACAGTTTGACTGCAGCAAACAAGCATATTTGACTGTTTACATTCAAAAATTTACATTTTTGCTCTCCTGTTTATGAAGCTAAGAGTATAAAGCTGTAACAAAATGCCTAAGTGGTAGCTAAGACATTGTCTCTGAACATATTGTGATGTCTATTTATTGCAAATTTATTCAGTAGATGCCAAATTTCTTATTCTCAGCTAAGTTGCCCTCTATAGCCATGACTAATTCTAATTTACATTTCAATTGCAGCTGTCTTATGAAGAGTCTTTTGCTCTGGTTTGTGATATACAACATGAAGCTTTGGTCTGGCTTTGCATTTTGAAGATGGCCCAGTATTCTCATCTCTTGTTCTCTGCTCTCTTGTGTCTTCATCTTGATGTTGTCTGCTATTTTCTCAGATTTATATTTCTAGACCTTTTTTTTTTGTCCAGACTTTTTCTTTAATTGTAGTATGAAAATACTTACTAGATAAAGTATTTGTAATGGGTTAATTTGGTTCTGTATGCCAAATAATTTCAACATAACTGCACCACCCAACAGAAGAAAAGAAAAGCGTTGAGTTGTGTTGTACTACCAGCGTTGGGGAAAGTAACTTTTAAAAGTAATGCATTACGATATTGTGTTATTCCCTTAAAAAAAGTGACTAACTGGATTACTTAGTTACTTTTTTTAAAAAGTAGTGCATTACGTCTCATTTGGTCTGGGCTTTTTTGTTTGTTTTTTTAATGACAAAAAAAGTTAATTTTTTTTCTCGTCAATCTAAAGCCTGTCCGAAAAACCACGGTCTTTGAATTTGATTATTTGTCTACTTGCACGCCATATTTCCTATAATTTGCCCATGTGTTCAAGTCAAGCCACATTTATTTACATAGCGCTTTTTACAATACAGATTGTTTCAAAGCAGCTTTAGAGACAGTAACAAGAAAATGCAACAAAATTTGTTTCCAGAAGAAAATAGTCACAGTGTAAGATTATGATTTAAGGCATCATTATAGGTCAGATTGGTTTGGAAACAGAATATTATAATAGCATTACCAGAGAGTGTGTAGAATATTTGATTACCGATGGGACAGATGTGATAGAAATGCAAGTGTTTACAGAGCTTCATTTTGATTTTCACTTTTAAAATAAACTTCTTAATGTCTGTTCAGTTGTATGTAACAGATGACACAATTTAATAACTGTGGTGCTTCTAATTAAGTTATAAAAAGCAGTTGGAAATATGTACAAAATAAATATCTTTGCACCAATAAAATGTGCAACACTTCACAGATATGTGTAGCAATAGCCAGCAATGTCATGTTGTCAAAATGATCGATTTTTCTTTTATGCCAAAAATCATTAAAATCATTACTTTACGATCGTTAAACAAGAATGTTCTATAAGAATGTAATCTGGAAGTACTCACTGTAAAAATGCATATGCTTTATCTAATCAATAGAATTGTGGCAACAGATTACAAGCGATATTATTAATTAAATTGAACAAATTAGAATTTAATGATTTTTAATCAAATTATTCCTTAAAAGTTAACCATTTAAAATGAGTAAAGTTTACACCCAAAAAAAATAAAATAACAAAAATATCTCACTAACAGACAGACAGACGTCAAAGATTAATTAAGAACTCTTTATTTTATATTTCCAACATTGAAGACACCTGATGTTAACAAGCAGAATCACTGAAGGAGAAAACCGTAATTTTAAAACAAACCTAAAACAAACACCGATCACCATAATGGTGACTTAAATATATGTTTGTTTGTTTTTTTGGTTGTTGTAAGTTTTACTCGTTTTAAATGGTAAACTTTTAAGGAATTAATTTGATTAATTATTACTCAATTCTAATTTGTTAAATTTAATTAATAATATTGCTTGTAATCTGTTGCCACAAATTTTTTTTTTTTGATTAGATAAAGCATATTCATTTTTACAGTGTACTACATTCGCCATGTAGTCATTATCATGTGACTTACAGCTCAGTTCCGTCGCTTCACATGTCATTCATAACTTCTCTCCTGATTTCTCTCTGGGTACATGAGGTATCAGTCAATAAATTAAAATAATGAAAAAATTAATTGACTACGTAACTCGCGTTACTTGAAATGTGTTGTACCTCACCGCAAAAGAGCATGAAATACCATAGCAACACTCATTTAGTTGTTCATTATATAGTTGTTATATTCTAGCACAATACATTTTAAACAAGTATTATCATTATGGTACTATCACAGAAAAGGGGAAAGAAAAAAGAATACCAAAGACTGGAATCATTTAACAAAATCTGAAATGTATTGATGAAATATAACCCCTAGTAAGGATTTGGCAGTATTGGGAAAAACAATTAAAAAGGCCTGCTTTCTGATCTGTAAAATCGTAAAATATGGTTTGTAAAAGTGTGGGACAACAGTTTCTGAAGAAAATGATGATGTAATTTTCACACATAAAGAAGTCCAGTTGGTTCATGTGGTAATTTGGTGTCAGTGATTCTCACCCTGACATTTTCATGAACTAAACATTAAACTTTGTTAGTCAGTTTCCAACTATTAGTAATGCAACGGTTACTTATTTTAAACAGTTGTATCAACAGAGAACTTAGTTTGAAAATGTTATAAGATTAAAATGCTCTCTCTAAGTATCATGTCAATAACCTACTTAGACATAGAAAGTAAATGTGTTTCAGCTTGTGAAATTGACAAATTAAACTAAAAGGACTGATGCACAAAGTTTGTCACTGTAAAAATCCTTCATTTTGGTCTTTTTTGTTGTTAGAGTGATAAAACAGAGAACGAAGTTATAAGTCAACTTTTAAGTGATTTGATATGAGCAACATAGGCTATTTTTAAACCGTGAGAACTAAGAACTGAGTTCTGCAAAAGCATTCGAAGCAGAACAGTTCAACCTTACTTTCACTACCTCTATGACTGTCACAGCTTGTTTTGACTTATTATATTATATTATTTAATATGAAATGTATTTATGAAATGTAAATATTGTAATATAGTAATACCTATAGGTTAACAGTGTGTTTGCACCTTTATAAAGATATAAAGGATAAGCACTTTGAACCTCACATTGTTGAATCTATTACTGAGAATGAGTAGCATTGTGGCTTGGGGTAATACCAGTAAACCCTTGCACTTGAATTGTTTAATTTTATTTGTTAGGGTCAAAACATTGAGAGATATGTAGATGTGTACATTGATTGTCCTTTAGAATTAAAGAGTAACTAAACACTTAACCAACTTTTTTTAGTTAATGATCTGTAAGAATGGATCTTTTTTAATACCAGTCATTGACTCGAGTAACTTTTTTGACATTTGTTTATAAAGTGTTCTATTTCAACAATATATGGTGTAAAAACGTCTTAGTGCTGCCCTCTTCAGGTTGAATGGTGGCTACTGCAGTTGAATTTTCCTATTGGATGTTCCGCACTTCGTGATGTACGCAGGTTTCAGCTCACTATGCGAGCTACGCCCTTGGCAGTATCAAAACCATCTTGTGTCGTCAAAACCACTGTAGCGAGTCAGGAATTGGAATTGTGAGTATTGAAAACGATCAGGATAGAGTGTTTTAGCATCTATTTCATCCCCTCTATCTCCGCTGGGGTCAGCCCACTTTTTCAGCATTTTCAAATATTGCCAGTGGGTGGAGTCAGGCTCTGACCAGGGGTTTAGTTACCCTTTAAAGGTGCCATATGTAATAATTGAGGTAACAATATACGAAAAATGAGCTACACGCATCAAAAGAATGAGAAGAAATAAGTGCAAAGATGTCATTAAAAAACTGACAAGTTATAGTGCTGCCGAGATATTAACCTGAATTAGCATGCTAAATTACTAGCCCCGGCCCGGCAGGTATCGTAATACCAGTTCCGGCCATGGGAGGCGGTATGCGGACAGGCAACGTTAGCACCAGCCAAACTGCAATAGACGAGTGAGTCGCGCTCGCGCCGGCTTGTGTGTACTTGAACCTGATGTCAGTCGTGTGGAAATACAGCCAATTACTACATTTCAGTTCAGGGAAGAGTTCAAAAAATGATTGGTCGACATTATGCATGAGGAATACATTTTGGTAAGTTGTAGCATACTGTATCTTTCACCAGTGTTCGTGTTCTTTTTCCAGCTAGTAGAGACGATCGGTTCACGTGCGCTAGGGATCTGTAGTGTAACATGTACAAGCGCCAAAACGGTATTTATTCTTTGAATTGCGTAATATAATTGACAGAATCTGAGAGCTTAACTAACCTGCTTGCTAAGTGTCAATTGCGTGTGTCTCACGGTGAATTCACGGCGCTAGCTTGATCAACATCAGCGAATGCTGTCTGTCAAATTAATTCACTAACAATAAAAGTGTAATATGAACAAAACGAATACCATAAACTTCAAATAATTGCCCAAGCTTTTATTTTCCCATACCGTCGAAATGCACCAGCTTTTTTTTTTTAGATCTATGAGGCGGTCTTCATCATTTAGTGTTGAGATTCATAGTGTTTAGTTTAGTTCACTCTAGTGTTTAGTTCATTGAGTCTCTGATCTCTAAAAATCTCCAAATGTTCCACGTGAAACTGCGGTCTTCCAACCTTTTACTATCATGTCAAATGATTTGAATAACATGCGCGATGGTAGGAGCACAAGTCATTTTTTGGAGGTATACTGCCCCCATCTGTTATGGAATATGGAGTAGGATTTGATTTATGATGTTAGATGGCACCTTTAAAGGATAAACATCTATTGAGTGTTTTGAGTTTGTTTCATTTTAAAATGTCCCCATTGGTGTGAATAGGTCTTTTTGGTTTTCTGCGCCAGACCACCGCCTGTTCCTCCCATCAGAGACCACACTGATCATCACATGGAACCACGACTACTACCACTAGCCACTTATACTGGTGAGCCACAACTAAGTGATCATTATTGGCCAACTGCTGTTTATTTTTGTTCTTCAGCCATCAGCTTTTTCTACTGAGCAATCCAATGTGTTACAAATTGCATTTGCTGATCGCGAAGGGCGTGTGTGCTGTCTGAATTGCGTCAATGTAACCGATCAGGTACGGATTACTCTATTGAGTTTCGCACACTGACTGCTGAATGCAAGTGGAACGAGGAGGCATAGTGGGATATGTTGGCTGACCGTATTCAAAAAGAGATCTTTGCCTTGGATTTACCCACCGACTTGGATCAGACTAGACTCTGAAGAGCTTTGTTTTGAGAGGGAGGCTCACTCTTCGGCTATGTCCAATTCTACGGTCAGCCCCACTTTCGATCCGGAAAAGGACATTGGGATTATGTCTACTGTGGAGCTGTGGGTCACATCGCATCGCAGCGTCCACCAAAAGCCAGCCTGTAAGTAGTCTCGAGGTTACTCATGGGTGGTATTGCTTTTGAGAAATCCTCCTTATCCGCCACTCTCCTCCCAATCAGACTTCAATGGGCTGCTTCTCACCACAACTGTCAAGCGCTTCCATCCGTCACTCTTCCACCGGCCCGGTGAGACTCAACACTTCGGGCAACCATATTAAATTGATCTATTTCAGGTTAATTGACTCCCCCTTGCTCCATCAATCCTTGGACATTCTTTGCTTACCCTCCTTAACCCACACATCAACTGGCATCTGAGCAATGTCTTGCCTCGGAGCGATCATTGTCATGCCTCCTGCTTGGTGTCTGCGTATTCTCCTGTGTTCGTGTTATGAATCTGCGGACCTGTCTCACGTGCCGGAAGACCTGAAGGAAGTGTTAGAAAGTCTCGAGCTGCTTCTCTCCCTCCTCATCGTCCCTATGACTGTGCTATAGACTTGTTACCAGGTACGTCTCCGCCTAAAGGCAAGTTGTATTCACTTTCTGCTCAAGAAAGGGAGGCCATGGAGAAATATATTTCTAATTCTCTGTCAGCCAAACCCATCCGCCCTTCCTCTTCTCCAGCAGGTGAGGGTTGTTGTTTTTTTCATGGAAAAGAAATATGGTTCCCTGTGGCCTTGTATTGACTATCAAGGTTTGAACAGCATCACGGTTAAGAATACTTATCCTTTGCCGTTGATGTCTTCGCCCTTCAAGGGGTTGCAGGGAGCTTGCTTTGTCACATTTAGCATACGTGACGGCTGTGGTTTCCTATAACAGGCCACATCGGCGAAATTTGTAACAAGACAAACATTAGGCTTTTTGATAAGAAAACAATGGGCTGACATATTCAACATCAACGTCAATGTCTTCGGCTTTTGAAAAACACCTAGCGATTCTCGCACGTCGAATTGAGCCTGCGTTTCCTGTACTTGGCCCCTGGAGTACTTCGGAACTCTTCCAAGTTGGACCTTCGCAATAAGGTCGGTGTCAGGGTGGGGGATGAGTCGAAGACTGCTTTCAATACCCCCAGGGGGCACTTTGAATATTTGGTTATGCCGCTTGGGCTATCCAATGCTACCACAGTCTTTCAGGCACTCGTCAATGACGTGCTGAGAGATATGGTCGATTAGTTAATTTATATCCACCGGGATGATATATTGATACTTTCTCTTTCTCTCCAGGAACATGTTCAGCATGCAGGTGAGTGCTTCAAAGGCTGTTAGAGAATGCAGAGAATTGTCTGTTTTTTCATGCATAGTCTGTTCCCTTTTTAGGATACATCATGTCGTCTGAGGGAGTGTGCATGGATCCCAATAAGATTCAGGCTGTGGTGGATTGGGCAACCCCAGACTCCCGCAAGGTCCTGCAGAGGTTTCTGGTCTGTCAATTTTTACCAGCATTATTCGCAATTACAGCCAGCTATCCGCCATTCTGACCACCTTGGCCTCCACCAAGACGACCTTCAGGTGATCTAAAGTTGCCGATACTGCTCTTCCAACCTCAAGAGCCGCTTTATTTTAGCTACCATTCTTACTGTCCCTGATTTCTCTCGTTGGTTTTTGGTGGAGGTCGATACGTTAGAGATGGAGGTTGGTGCAGTTCTTTCCCACCGTGCTTCCGTGGACTAGATCCATCTGTGCGCGATTTTTTTCTCATCGTTTGTCTCCCTGAACAGTATCTTTACTCCATTGCTTCACTGGCTACCTGTGGCATCACTTATTCACTTTAAGGTATCACTTCTAACGTTTAAGACATTAAATGGTCGTGTACCTCCATATCTGTCTGATCTACTTTACTCTTACCTCCCTGCCTGGTCCCTTAGATCAGCTGAAATTGGTTTATTGCCCATACCTTGTTTCTGGTTGTCTATTGTAAGTGGAAGGTAATTTAGACTTAAATGAATGCTCCTAAATTATGGATTTCACTACCCTTTACACTTCGTAATATCTCATCTGTGGCTACATTCAAGACTCAGCTAAAAACATATCTATTCAACATGTATTTTGGATAATGAGACTATGTGTGTGAGACTCATACTGTATGTGATTGTAATGTGTGTGTGGGTGAGTAAATGTATTTTAATGTACAATGTAAAGCGATCTTGAGCTACGGAAAAGCGCTATATAAATAAAACAACTTCACGTAATTACTGTAATAATTAAGAGTTACTGCCCATCAAGCTTGCTTTGGAGGAGTGGTGCCATTGGTTGGAAGGCTCGGGGGTGCCTTTCGTCATTTGGACTGATAAGCACAAGCATGCTGATCTTTTAAGAAAATCCCGGTCATCAACGGTGAAACCTCTAAATGGTGAAGTCTTGTCTTCTTTTCCCAGTGCGAACCGTGAACTATATAAAGGGAGTGAACGCAGTGTCCAAAGATAAATGTAGACAAGTTCTGACACCAACTTTTGTGAGACACCATTGCTTCGGTGCTCTGTGTGTATTCGCCATGGCTTCAAGTCTCGAGTTTCATCAGCAGAGATAATTCACAACACCGCTCGTTTATGCACGACTATAGTGTCAACTGATCTCACATGAGCTCATCTCACATTCTCTTTGGTGAGTGAATACGATAACACTGCCACCATGCCAGTGTGTAGAGGAGATACAATGAATCGCTGACACGAGAGAATAGTTTAGTCAAGCTATTAATGGTGACCACATACCCAACAATAAGCTGTGGCACACGTGCATCCTCCGCCCTAGTCAGCGACTCCACGTTCAATGTCAAGAACCACTTCACGATCCATGTCACACTCCACATGGAGGAAGGTAGAACTGAAATGTTTTATTGTTTTAGTTATGATTATATTATCATTGAGGATTTTGTTTTGTCTTGATCTTTATTTTCACTCTACACACACACACTAAGAAACGTGATATTTAACACATGAGTTTTGTTGTGGTCTTGCTAGGATCATACCAGCATCCAAAAGACAACATATGCTGGCCCACCAGCATTACAAGCTCTTCCCAGAATGCAAAAATACCTTAAGCTGGTCCACCAGCACACCCGCTTCCCATACTGTAACCAGCATCCTGGTCCCAGCATGCAACACTTATGCTAGAGACCAGTAATGCTGGATTTTTCAGTAGGGTTTATTATTATTTTTGGCCTCTTTTGTTATAATCCAGCAATTCTCAACTGCTCCACAATCAACCATACAAATCATGCAAATGGTCAATAGTGGCTTTATGCCAGAATTATGTCTCGACGCATGATGCTGGATGAGGATCCTCATTTTACACAGACTGAATGCTGCCCTCTTGTGTAAGTTTTCTGTGATTTTCAGTCTGGATCTGTGACAGTAAAACTCATCTTTAGATGGTGAAGTTACAAAATATTACCATAACGGGGTCAGTCAAAGTAATGGTCTTGCTTTACCAGGCAAAGTGTAAATCTGCACAAACAAGCTGATATCCGTGACAAACAAAACGCAGCTGTGAATTATAACCGATGTTACTCCTGAGTTTAGTTTATCAGTCTTTATCTCCATACATGTTTATCGGGGTAACGCAAACGATTTGAACCGGTACGAAAGAATTGTTTCGCGTTGGAAATGAATCAAGCTTAATCAATAAATCATGTACCCATGAGATTCTCAGTCATGAGAAACTTCGTGGGTGAATTCACTGGAATAGTAAACGCAATCGATTTAATTAGATTATCTCAGAATATTGGCTGGGAAAACCGTCCCCAAGGCAAAAGACGGCGGTTTTGTTTTTAATATGTTTACATTTCCACAGAACTCTGGCCATAGAAACAATTCATCTCAGTTGGGGAATGAACTATAGGCTAACCCTTCCAGGGTTAAAAGTTATCGTTTTGAATCATATTGTTTAAAAATATTTGTATTTTGAATAATTGCTGTTCTTTAAAACGTTTTATTAGTTGTACAACCGTTTCCAACATTGATAATAATCAGTATCAAATCAGAATGTTGGAATGATTTCTGAAGGATCATGTGAAACTGAAGACTGGAGTAAAGATGTTGAAAATTCAGCGTTACCTCACTGGAATGAATTATATTTTAAAGTGTATAATGATGTATATTCAATAAAAAAAGCATTATTTTAAATTGTAATAATATTTTACAACATTTACCTTTTTATATAAAATTATATATATACGTATATACACACACACATACATTTACACACACACACACACACACACACACATATATATATATATATATATATATATATATATAGATGAACATAAGATACTTCTTTCAAAAACATTACAAATATTAATTTTTCCAAACTTTTGACCGGTATACTGTATATATCCTATATAACTCATTCAGTCAAACCCATTCAAGCCTAGAAAAAGAAGCATCATAATTCCAGCCTTTTTGCATAGTGCTACATCTGAATAAACAGAGCTATGCCATGTTCAATCAAAGACCTGGCACACTTTAAGTTTACCAGTGTACATTGACACAGGCATAGAGTTGCACGCATGTTCCTATTCTCAAGCTTTTCGAAGTTTGCTGTCTGCCTATTGTTGTTTTATGCAAAAAGTCAGAGTCTGGATAGGACACACG